CTGCCCGGTGCCCACCAGACAGGCCCGATTCGGGTCCCATTCCCGGCACTGGGAGTCCTCCCGGCACTGATAGCTGACACACTTTTTGCGCAACACGTCGTACCGGTATGTGTCCATACATTTGCACACACCGTCGCGACACCGGTGGTTAGGGTCGGGACAGGGGCTGTACGTCGAGCACCGTTTGTAGTGCTCCGACAGAAAGTGTTTGATCTGAAAGTATTCGTTGAGATATTCAGAGGGTTTGACGTATTCGCCGTCACGTGATGTGGAGCACCGGTAGCCGTATATTAGGCCACATATTGTTAGCACAAGTAGTTTACAAATCATTGTTGGTTTTTGTTTTGTTAATTCATTAGAAAATGTTGTTTAAAATGTTATTATTTTTTTAATAAGACATTCAAATGTAAGAGAAGTGTAATGTTTTTTGTTGTCTGTTTTTAGCACGTATTTCAGGTATCATTAGTAACGCAATGTCTATTAAAGGCAATATAAAAGTAAAATACACCTTTGTACATTTTATTTTATTAGATATAATTTTTTTTATGATATACATGTTTGTTATTTATTTAGCTGATTTGATGGTTGATCAATGATCATACACCATACGCACGTAAACATGTACAATAAATTTGTTTTATATAAACTAATTTTAAAATAAAATTGTTACTTACATTTCACAATTTAATAAATATTTGTACAATATGAGTTATACAAATATTATTGATTTTGTTTATAACAATACCATATATTTAACAAGGTAATTGTTAATGTTTAATTTATTTTGTAAAAATAATTTTACTGTATTATTAAATATTTATTATTAACGAGAGTATTGTATTATTTCTTATCAGACACTCATATTAAGTGCTTAATGAATGTCATTTGATTGAATTGTATATTTTGCAACGCTCATTTCTTGTAAAATAAGTAAATATTGACCATGATCAATTTGATATATAAATGCTAACATGTGCAAATTTAATTATTCGTGTAGATTTATCAAAAATATAGTGTATATTCTATATTATCATGTTATTATACATTGTTATTATACGTATTATAAATAAATTGTATGAAAATACTGTTGTTATGCCAGAGAATATTGTATTAAAAAGTATTTAAACAAAAGTAACCGTCTTATCAATAAATGATAGTGTTTTTAGCAAATAAATGAATCATTTATGATAATAATTACATCACAAAGAATTGTATTAAGTCAGCATGTTACATCATTTATATATAAAGTCGTATGATTTATTTTAATCTGTTTTTAATAATTAAAATTATTGTCTAAATCTGTTCGCATTTAAATTTTCAAATTATGTATATTTATGTTAATTGTTTTATTCTACAATAAAAATATATTTCTGTTGAAAATATTGGACTATTATATTTATAAAAAGATTATAATTTTAGTTTAGTTCATTTTATAGCAAACAAAATTAATCAAATTTAATATTTTAGCAAAAATATATTAATTATATAATTGTGATAGTTCTAATTTATAATATAAAATTAATTGTTTTTTATATGCATTTTATTTTAATTTTGATAGAATTTTTAACATAAAATAATGTACAGTAGTAAGCCGAATACCGCGAATAACAATACAATACAAAAATACCATACACACAAAGTATCACTATTGATTTTATCATTAGTCATGATTCATGAACAGTGACATTTTATCTCAGCCTACTTGACCGTATTAATTTTGATAAATATCGGGGTACTTTGATTTATGTCATAAGTGGTTCAAAACTGTAGAAATTGTAGGTACCAATTATATCATGCAATGTAATTCTTTAAAAATTTTAATAAAATTTATTGTTATGTGTTAATAGCTTTATTTCATAGATTTAGTAAACTGTAAACTTTACTTGAATTAGATAAATATTTAATAATTCATAACCATAATAATATTTGTTGGTCAAAGAACTATGAAGAATTTTACAATGTTATTCAATTCTTTAAAAAAAAATTAAATATCATGTTTTTTGTATTATAACTTTATAGATTAACTATATTTTAAACTGTAATTATTTTAACTTATATGAATTGTTGGCATAATGTATAGTGCCCGGCACAGGCTGAAGGGCAAGCGTGAAAGTCACTTTTACACAATTTATGCGGTGTTTAGTCAACACAAATGCCGATCACACTGGGCAAGCAAAAACACTTGCCCATCATTTTTCCGTCAATTTTCACATTTTCACGGAAAATTTTATTTGTCAAAATTTTCTTTAAAATTATGGTTTCTATAAAAAAAATTGATTAAATGTCTTAAGATTTGTCTATTCTTTAAAAATCATTAAAAATAATTTTCCGTCAAAATGTGAAAGTTGACGGAAAAATGACGGGCAAGTGTTTTTGCTTGCCAGTGTGATCGGCATTTGGGTCGACTAAACACCGCATAAATTGTGTAAAAGTGACTTTCACGCTTGCCCTTGCCCTTCAGCCTGTGCCATAGTGCCCGGCTACGACGGTCTTAAACTCCGCCCATAAATGTCTATAAGCCTTATAGAATCCTAAAAATAATCTTATTTTATATCTTTTTAATATATTTTGTTATTGATTTAATATATTTTAATAATGCAATAAATAATTGTTTAATCCTTTGATTATTGAAAACTGTAAACATTTGTAAAATCAAGTTAATATTTAATACCTTGAAAAATAATTTTAATATATTTTATAAAATGAATTCATTTCTTACAGATCTGTCAATAATCACATGTGTTTTCAGTGACAGTCGATGTAATTACAGGAAATATAATATTACGTAAGTTTGACTTTTGATTTTAATAAACATTCACTAATATTATATAATAGTAGCAACAAAAATTTAATAACTTTGTAAATCAAATTTAAATGCAATTAGATTTTAATAATAAATACTTGATTGACGTGTTTATTTTTAAATAGTACTTATTTTATATAATTTAATAAACTTATAATATAAATATACTCAAATATTGTTGTATTACACAATGAAATACCATCATGGCTCTATTATTATAATAACTTTGTTTAGGATAATTTCAGGTATTATTACGCAATTTTATAAATGTGAAAATAAATATTTTTATTATTTGTTTTTATTGTACCAGGATCAATCTATAATCCAATAACTGATTTAAATAACCTTTTGACAAGTATATTGTTTGGGGTAAATTAAATTTTACTAAATAATTAACAAACATTGTAATGTAACAATGTACTATTACAGGGTGACAAAAGCTCGTGTTTTGCAAACGTTAAGTTAGACAATACAACAATTATTGGTTGCATTGATATGATCTCAACGGAAAGTTTAAGTTATGGCAACACTACCAGCAATACTACCCAATCATACCGTAAAATAATCAATTTTAAAGTAATTTTAACTATTCACTTAAAACTAAACAAGTAAAATTATATTATTACATTATGACAATCTACCTTAATTTTCAGGGCATACCATACGGCACACCACCCATAGGAAGGTTACGATTTGTAAAGACAGAGCCAATTGATTATTCACAGCGCCGGACAATTAATGCCACAAATTTTGGCACTTATTGTCCGCAACATATTTGGGACACCGATGAGGACTGTTTGTATCTAAACGTATGGACCCCGACATTAGACTCCAAAGCAAAACTGCCCGTCATGTTTTACATACACCAAGGTGGTTTTGCCATAGGCAGCGCTAATCTATACAATGGCCAACAGTTGGCGCTCCGGGATGTGGTTGTGGTGACCATTAACTACCGGTTGGGTGCATTGGGCTTTATGTGTACCGATAGGCCGGACGCGCCCGGAAATGCCGGTCTCTGGGATCAGGCGATGGCAATGAATTGGACGCAACAATTTATCACACATTTTGGCGGTAATCCCAATGATATTACAGTGTTTGGCGAGAGCGCCGGCGCCATCTCTATCGGCGTTCATATCTTATCAAATGTCACAAATGGTTACTTCAATAAAGCTATTTTACAATCAGGTATTATATTAACTATGTTAAAATTATGTAATTTATTATCATGTTAATTACTGTAAATAGGATCAGCCCTAATGCACGAGTTGATTCGGCCAAAGTCCTATACCACACGACTGGCCAAACGGTTTGCCCGGGAAGTGGATTGCAATCCTGGCGAGGATTATCTGATGTGCTTACGGTCAGTGCCATTGGCAACTATATTGAGAGTACGGTTGAGTGCGTCCAACTGGAATATGGACACTCCCGACGCCAGTCCCCTCATAACATCCCATATGTTTCCCTTTCATGTCTGTTATGGCGATCAATTGCTGCCCGAATCGCCAGTAGAGTTGCTTAAAGGCGGGCATTACAGACGGGATTTGAGGGTATTAATGGGTCACCAGACTGTGGAATATCTGACGCTTGGCCTCGTCCAGGGCTACAGTAGTCGATACAACCCGTTTGTCCCGTATGTGTATACGACTAAACGGACTGCCGTTTCCGATATCGAGCACTTGATTAATAACTCGACGTTCGCCGGACTTGTGGTGCAAAGATATATTGAACCCTATTTTACTGGGTATAACCCGTGGCAGTCAAACGCGCTGCGACTTACCGTTGCGCACGCCTTAAGCGATGGTTACCTGACGTGTCCTATAGTAATGTACGGCAAATATTTGGCAAAATATTCAAATTTTACGGCAACCGTATATCAGTATCAGTTGACGTCCACCAATAGGCTGTCACCCACTGCCTATAGTTTGTGGTGTAATGGCACTTCCCATGGCGATGAAATACCCTTGGTATTTGGCTATCCATTTATTTTACCAGGGTTTACTGTGGATAATACACGATTAAGCTCAATTATGATGTATATATGGACAGAGTTTGCAAAAACTGGGTATTAATTTGTGCTAACTTGCTATCTAATAACTTATCTTGATAAATGAAATTAATTGTATTCATTTTATGATAGTTCGGCTCCATTAGTAAATAATAATGATTGGCATCCATACAGTATTAATAGCGATGGAAATGTGTCCATAAATTATATGGAACTTAATGCTGATATTACTAAATTAGGCAAAATGTTTTTTAATAAATATCGGAGTAATAATGGATTTCATCCAAATGTTATTCAAGATTGTGGTGATTTTTGGGAGCAAATTATTTTAACTCAATTTTAGACCAACAATTATGCTGATTGTCAATTATAATTGTAAATTTTATTACCGTAATATTATTGTAATATCATGGACGTAAATAATTTATATAATACCACACTGCTATGTATATCCGTTGTATTTTTTCTACCATTAACCTTAAACTTCATGTACTTTTATATGTGAATTTACAGATGTTTATTAATAGCTCTTCATTAAAAATAAAGCTGAACTGAGTTTTATTAATTTATATTTTTTTGTGATAATATTATGTGAATATTCGACTAAAATTAATATTTTTTGTGTTGTTTATTTTATAATAGAACATATAGTACAATTGATTATAATATTTAATTAATTCGTTAGTTAGATTTGAATTGATTATAATAATTTTTATTATTAAATAAAATGCTAAATACAAAAACAGCATTTTTAATAGTAAATGTATTAATACTTATATTCAAAGAAGATAATATAAATTGCGGTATAAAAATATATAATATGTATTATGACTTATTAAAAAAATTTATCATAAATAGCTCCAACTGTACGGTTAGGGAACTATACGTTTAATGGTATTCTATCAAACATATCAACACAAAGTCTTAATAACTCACAACAAAATGCCACGATTTCTATTAATGTATTCAAGGTAATTATAAATATAAATATTACACAATTGTCAATGTATCATCTATTTAATATTTAGGGCATACCATACGCCACACCCCCAGTGGGAGACTTAAGATTCCGACGTACAGTCCCTATAAGTTATTCACAAATGAAAACCATAAACGCCACACAATTTACTAATGGTTGTCCACAACTGGGAAATATTATGAATGCAAACGAGGACTGTCTGTATTTAAATATATTTACGCCAACTATGAATACCAATGCAAATCTACCGGTTATGTTATGGATATTACCAGGAGCATTTGTTGGCAGTATAGCCACCCCTACGGCCAATAGCTTTGATGGCCAACAGTTGGCTATAAGAGGTGTAGTGGTCGTCACCATTGACTTTAGGGGATTAGTATTTGGCTATCTGTGCACCGATAGGCCGGACGCCGACGCAAATGCTGGTCAATGGGATCAGACGATGGCATTGAATTGGACGCAACAATATATCAGACAATTTGGTGGAAATCCATGCGGTATTACAATATTTGGTGAGAGTTCCGGCAGTGACTGCGTTAGCGCTAATATATTGTCAAAATATGCCAATACTTACTTCAATAAAGCAATTCTACAATCGGGTAATTAAAAATAAGTTTAATGAGTATGTTTAATAATTGTTATGTAATAGGTATGATTTCATTTAAAAATGTAAATAGTTATTTGTTTCTGTCGTATTATCTTATGTATTCTATAAATTCTAATGTTAGTAATTAGTAATAATAAACTATGTATTATAATATAATTAACGTTAAACACTTCTCGTCCGGTCAAATATAAAGAAATTATACCAAAATTATTTTTTTGGGAATAATGAAAAACAGGGGAAATAAGTTAAATTAATTTAAAGTTAAGTTAAAGTTAAATAAACTAACGAGCGAACAATGAGGTCTTCTGTAACGATAATGTTATTTAATACCACTCATTGTGTAGTTTAGACCAAATAAAATAATTTAACCCTAATATCTCGGGCTGATAGCCCAATGGGCGCCTCTGGCAGGGGGTTTTAAGTTGCAATTTATAATAAGGCGGTCAAGTGATTCCAATCGTGCGGTAATTGATGCCATTTTTTAACTAAATGAGATTAATTTAATTCTGTAAAATGGATATAAGAGCGTCATATACTGCGCATCTGAAGCTTACTTTATTATAAATATAGGTCACGTGGTTTACTTAATAATATGAACATTCGGAATGGTCATATTACAGGTCAAACTATAAGAAATGTAGAGATGGTCCCAATGGGTAATTTGTGAAGGGATAAATTCTGCACACAATGAAAAAAGAATTACTAAAATCTGACCAATAGTATAGATTTTATAACTCAACAAAGACAGGCTTTTCGTAATGCTAATCCTATGGGCAAATTTCAAGTAAGAAATATTGAGATGGTCCCAATACAAAATAGTTAGAGCAAATAATTGTGTACAATATAAAAAAAGAATCATCAAAATTGGACATGTATTTCAGGTTTTATCAACAAAAGAGTGATGGTATTTTGTAATAATATGAATTTTTCTAAAATGTTCAAAATAAAATATTTTAAATAGTATTGAATTTAATGTATATTATAAAATGTATTAGTAATTATTATGCTTATTTTTTATTATAATCTATTTGTTAAATGGATAAAAAGTATATTTATGAAATATGTCGTTTATAAAGACAATCACTCTTTTGTTGATAAAACCTAAAATACATGTCCGATTTTGATAATTCTTTTTTTATACTGTACACAATTATTTGCTCTAACTATTTTGTATTGGGACCATCTTAATATTTCTTACTTGAAAGTTGTCCATAGGATTAGCATTACGAAAAGCCTGTCTTTGTTGAGTTATAAAATCTATATTATTGGTCAGATTTTAGTAATTCTTTTTTCATTGTGTGCAGAATTTATCCCTTCACAAATTACCCATTGGGACCATCTCTACATTTCTTATAGTTTGACCTGTAATATGACCATTCCGATTGT